TCGGTATCTCCTTTGGATTGATGTCTTCATTCATACACCAGATTCCTTCCACCTTGCCCCCAGTATGGAGGGTGATCCTTGGTTAGGGTTAAATCAGAGAAAAAAATAATATAGGCTCAAAAGGGGACAACAAGGGATATATATATATACATATTGGATAAATGAAACAAAGTTGTTTATCATCTCAAACAAAAAGTCCTCACAGAAGAGGTATCCCCAGGGGGATAGATTTTCAGGATTAATATTATTCACATGAAAACAGTGTAATTAATGCATGATAGAATTATTTCGAATGAATTCTTCTTTCTTCTTCTTGTTCCCAACATGTCTCAATGTTCAGGCTCCCTGCGAGATGCCCCAAGTTGTGTCTTAGAAGAATGCTCAAATGAACAACTCAATGCCTTAGGTTTTATTGGAAAAATGTTGGTTTTACGTCTAAAAAGATGGTGTGACTTTATTGACTCAAATGTATGGGTATGACTCTATCTTCATGAATTATTCTGGGTAAAGAATCGAGGGATTTTTTTTTGTTTTAGACATGATAAGAAAGATATGATCTTGCCATATGTCAAAAATCTATAATTCTTAAAGAATTAAAAGAATCCTTAATTCATTCGATATTCAAAGAACTAAAGATTAAAATTTGTTCAATTATTCCACCTTAGAAGGTAACATAAATTCAGTCGTTTAAAAGATTAAGAAAATATGAAAGATCAAAAACATGTTCAAACAAAACAATGCTCTCAGTGCAAATGGTAGATGCAATGCCCCATTCTTTGATTGTCCATGCCCCTGAATCCATCAGGTTTTGGATCTCGTGCTTCATTGCCTTACAGTTCTCAGAGGAATATCTGGAGCTTCCTATGTGGTAATTGCACACAGCTTCAACATCCTAAACCATAGGGAATGAGAACTCTTCTCTTAGATCATCCTAGAAGGCTCAATCCTACAATCCGTTGAACAAACTTCCACCGTACTGATTTCAGTTTTTTCTTTAATTGTTCAAATCTTGCTTCCATGTGGTGTCACGTGATTAGGACCACTTCATCGAATCCTCCATGACTTAATTTCATGTTTATGAAAATACTTAAAAATGAAATGTAGATGCAAAATGTAAAAATGCATGAAATGTTCAAAGCATTGTTCTGAAAACATGTATGTTATTATAAATAATCTTTATTGGGACAAAAGTATTATTTCTTATGAGACAAAAAAGCTACCAAGTCTTTTTGACCCCGAACAGCTTCTGACAGGTTGACTCGTCTTCCGCATTCTTCTATCACCGATTGAATACCCTGTCCAACCGCTCTGGATTCTCTGGCTAAACCGTGCAAGTGACTAGCTGTTTTTTGTACTTTTTCATGAAGTGTCGAATGACTGCAACTTTGCTGAACTTGTTCCTAACAGAAACGCAATTGGAGCCTTCCATCGATAGGAGTTATCCGAAGTTCATTTGTTTGTTTCTTGAATTTGTCAATAATGACCTCCACTTTCAGCTATCGTTTTGCTCTTGTTGTCTTTGAAGGGACTCTATAGGTCAGTAACCTTTTTCTCATCTTGCCCCTGCAACCTTTCGCCAACCCTTTTTGGAAAAGTTAATTTTTGACGTGGTTGGTGTAAACCCGGTCCATTCCGAGTCTTTTCTAACCATAGCCAGACTTCTGAGCTTTTCATCTCTTGTATTATAACCCTTTGTCCATTAATGCAAATTATTTACGTTTAACAAACACGTTTTTGGTGGATCAACACCTCTTTCTAATGATGTAAATGATAAAAAAAATAAAGTAAAAGAAAATAAAAATTAAAAGAAAAAGAAAAAGGTTAATAAGATAAGGATAATAGAAAAAAATAATAATGAAAATAAAAAGTCATACCCCATATGCTTTAGTATTCCTACCCGGACATGATCTCTATCCCGCAAGTTGATTTTGAACAAGTCCTAACCGCATAAATTTCTAGTTCACATGTTTTGAACATAAAATAAGGCAGGAAATGAACTCAAAATAGCCTAGGATTTGAAATGAGGTTTTGGGGTGGACTATAACTCCTTGTAGTCCTGATTTAGGTTCTAAAGAAAGATATCCGAGTTCTCCTTACTGGTGCCCCCTTGGGCTTGTCAGACCCTTAGTCCTAAGCCCATTACAAGCTTGTGTGGACTAAGTTAAACTCGAGAGGATACATTCTCTTATGCCTATGCGGTGAATAAATTCACACGAAGACATAAGGTATATGAATCCTGAAGGCTACTTGTTAGGCATGTGCGGAGAATAAATTCTCACGAAGGTGTCACTTTCACCCCCACTTAAAAAGGGTTCGGAGCTCCGGTATAGAGCCTTAGATAGAAAAAGTTAAAGATTTGAAATCATTGAAAAAGTCAGTACAACTATTTAATTAAAGATAAATAATTGGAATCGAATAAATAAATTAAAATTTAAACTTACAATTTTCGCTTAAAAAGATAACCGAAAATTAATTTCGGCCTGACTCACTTACCGGTCCCCAGAAGAGTCACCAAGCTGTCATAATCATTTTTCAGAGGAACAATTATTTATTGTTTTGAAAAAATAGTTACGACTTTAATTTTGAAAAATTAGGGATTTTGAAATTAAATTGAATAGAATTGAAAAAGAGTCGCCATCGACCTTTGGGTTAGGTAGGTTGAATACCTAAAACTGTCTTTTTAAAAACAATTTTAAGAAAAAACATTTTTAAGACAAAAAACTGGTATGCGTTTACAAAGATTCGATTAAAACGGGTTCGGGAGTCGGTTATAGTCAAGGACGGATTAGCACCCTTGAACTGCCCTTTCGGTACCATTTAATTTGTTGGTTGTCTTAATTGCGAAAATTAAAATTGAAATTTAAAAATTTGATTCGAATTACTCGTTTAAAAGAAAATCCTTTTACTCGATAAGAGATCTTGAAAACATTAACTTAAAGGATTAAAATAACAAAAATAGAAACTTAAATGACTAAAATAAAATAACAGAAACTTAAGTATCAAAATCAGAAATAAATAAAACAAGAGATATGACATTGGTGATTAAATTAAAAATAATTAATCCTAAGTGCCAAAAACGAAAAAATGCAGAGATTCAGGTACTGGAATGAAAAACACGCCTAAAAATATAGGGACTAAATAGAAATTAAACTAAAAATATATACCATGCATCAAAATGGGTAAACTACAAAAACGGTCCATACAGGTAATTATTTTAAAACATACCAAACTTAGGGGATTTAAAGTATAATTTCCCCCTAAAATTTTCTATAAAAAACAATCTCTTTTTTTAATTTTCATTTCATTGTTTTTAAATTATTTTTAGAGAGAGATGATCTCCCTTCTCTCTAGAAAATATGCCAATCAACGGTGGATTACCTCCGTCGGCCGCCAGCTCTGTCATTGTAGGCCACTACCGTCACGCCACCGCGCCACTACCGTCACGCCACCGCGCCACTACTTCCGCCAGTGTCTGATGGTCATCAAATTTCACCGGGAGGTTCGTCTTAACCTCCTCATCTTGGATCTGGGGTCGGTTTTGCATGAATCGGCTCCGTTCGTCGTAAAAAGACCAAAACCCATTCGATTTTCTTTTATATGATCCAACGCTGTCCGCCGTCTGATCGTCATGATTTTTTAGTATGTTGTTCGTGTTGGCCTTATGAAACTTTTCACTCTTCGGATCGTCGATCGGAGATCTCTATCATTGGCGAAAATCTGGAAGAATGTAAGAACATTTTTCCCTTGTATTTTCTTTTATTTCGAACATATAGGATGGAAAAGAAGGAATAATAATAATAATAATAATAATAATAATAATAATAATAATAATAATATGCTACTGGAACGAATGAAATGAAAAACAATATGTTGTTGTATAAATTTTCATTGTAAGAACTTTCGGGAGAAAAATCCATTTTTACATTGCTTGGTTCGAATGAACCTCAAAATCGATAACCTCATTTTTCATTCGAATTCCCCTTTTTTTCTCTCCTCCCCCTTTTCGTTATGTTCGAGACCCCCTTAAATAATTTTTTCCTTTTGTTTTCAATCATCACCGAATGTCATTGTCCATTTTTTCCTTGTCTTCTTGCTTGCTTTTCTTTTTTTCCATTTGCTTGATTTCATTTTTCACTAAATCCCTTTGATTTATGGTTGATATCAAATGGGGTGTGGGCTCAAATTTATGTTTCTTTTTGACTTTGGGGTATTTGTGTGGTTTGGGGAAGGTGACCTACAAAAGTAAACACTTATTATAAGTAAAAATAAATAATAATAATAAATAATAAATAATAATAATAACATAATATATTTAATATTATTTTTTTGACTCGGACAAAAACGGGTGTCTACACCATGTTTTAATCTCTTCCTATAGCCTAGAACTCCTTTGCTATATCACCTCTTTCATTCAATTTTCCTTAATTTAATTTAAATATTTACTTTAGTAAAAGTTTATTACATTTTTATCTACTGTATATTTATTTATTTCAAAGTCATGGGTTCAAAACTCATCTTTAGTGCCAATTATAATTCCCCTTTGAATTTATTTATTTTAATAAGATAGTGAAATAAAATAACTAAAAGAAAAATGGTACGTGAACCATTAATGAGTGGAGAGAAAATATTTTTTTAACAATTATTGATAAAAAATAAATAAACAATAATAGATTAATGATGAATAATGTTATTTACTTTTATTTTTATATAATGATGAAGAGTGACATCATTAATGAAAAGTGAGTATAGAAATTGAAAAGAAAAAAGGTTAAAAGAAAGTCCAACCTTGGATACCACGAAAAATAACATTTGAATATTCAACTAAACTACAAGTATAAAATTAGACAAGCTTGGAAGTTTGCAGAAGAACTTCTTCTTCAAGTACCCTGGAGAGAAATTTCTCAAAAGATACTAACAATTCCAAGGATAATGGTTTGGTCAAAACCTTGTTAAGAAAGTTAGCAATAACTCGTAAGAAAAACCAATTATAAATACATTTGGACAGTGCTAGCAAAAGGGTATCAAGTGAATCACATTACATACATAATCTCATGGCTTCTCTTAAGTTTAACACCCATCCAAATAAACATAGATGCCTCATGCTTAAGGTCTATATTATATATATATATATATATATATATGCTTTCCTAGAGTTGCTTGTTGCTTAAATTCTTTGTTTCTAACTGATAAATATTGACAGAGAAAGATTGCGAAGAAAATCACGAGAGCAAGATTCAGAAGGTTGAAAAAAGAGATGGCAGAGATAAGCATAGAGCAAGAATTCATAAAGGAAGGGCAAAGACGAGTTGGAGCAAAAATTGAAGAAATAAATGAAGAATGTGAGCAACTAAGGGGAGAAGCGCAGCAAATGATCCAACAGAGCGTTAACACTCAAATCCGCTTGGCGCTTATGCTCAACATCCTCAAGGCACGAGAAGAAGGCTACTTTGCCAAGACTTCTCAGTTAACTCAATTGCTTCGGTCAGTATCATTTTTCTTTTAATCGGGCTTCCTAAGGAATGATGAAGCTAACGTTACAGTTCCTTGTTCTTTTCTCAGTGAAAGAATGGCGCCGGAATAATCTGAAGCATGAAGCTGCATTATTCATTAATCAAGTGAACGAGGAAGACCTACTGCTCTCTTTTGTTATGACATATTAACTTTACGTGCAAGTTGTTAGGTATTTGTATTTTTATTTTCTGAGATAAATTATGTTTGTATTGAGTAAACTTTACTTTGTATCAGTAAACCTGTTTTGAACTGTTGGATAATTATAATTTCACGAGTTGAAAACTTTTCATGCGTTGCTATTAGGGGTGAGCAAAACTCGACTCGACTTGAAAAATCAATTTTTTTACTCGACTCGAATTGACTTCGAGTTATAATTTCATAAACTCGACTCGAAAAAATTTAAAGTTCAAATCTAGTTGTAAAATACAACTCAAAATTTTTAATAATTAGTATATTGATTTTCAAGTTTGAGTCGAGTCCCTCGACTTTTTATGGTATATTTAAATTACATATTAAAAAAATACAAAAAAATATAAATGTATTGTATATTATTATAAAATATTGTTTAAATTGGAATCCAATAATGCCATAATATTGAAAATATTTACAATTAAATTTAAATAGAAACTTGAAAATTTGACTCGACTCGACTCGATCGAACGTTCACCCCTAGTTGTCATAGTATGGTTATATTTGTAGTGTAGATTTTTGGCAGTAATACATTCTCTTATTCCTCATCTTATCTTTTTTATTTAACTTTTAATGACAAACAAATTACTTTATTTATAAATTATAACAATCAAGTCATTCAATTGTAAGAGAAAGATTAATATCTATTACAGATTTGATAGTAAAGTGATATGTTTACTACAATTGATTAGTAAAATGATGTGTTCATAACTTTTTTGAAATTCATGTTATATTTATAAATTTATTAATAATTTAGAGGTGTTGCAGCCCAATGGTGGTATTCAGTGTGGAGCCTTTGGAAGGTTCATAATTAGAGATGACCTAGTGTATGTAGTTGTCTCTTAAAAATTTTAAATTTTTATATAATTTAGTTATTTTTTATTAATTATTTACTTTTACCTTATAAAATTCTATAATTTACCTTTACCTTTCTAAAACTCCTTCTGTTGAAGTTGAATCAATTTTGCAGGATGATTTGGACATAGCCATTGCTTAGCTAGTTTACTGTTTTTCACTCCTTTACCTTTACCTTTCTAAAAGTTTAATATCCTAGCATAAATCCTGCTTAACCGTAATAATCTGGCGTTTCATTGCCGAATAACCACTGCCAATGAGGCTACAGCATATGCACGACAATTTTGTGGCTGATATTATTAAAGCAGTGAAACAAGTCCCGCAGAAGCGAGTTCATGGACGTGGATGGGTAAATTGGACTACACCACCACTTGGGGTATGGATTTGGCTGTGCTGGCTTGAACGAATACAGAGTGGGTTGGTCATGGTGGGTTCAAGTGGGGCTTTGTCTCGCAAAATCTCTTGGAGTTCGAGGTTGGATTGTTGACCATAGAGAGTGCTTTGATCGGTGAATTCCTCGATTCGATACAAGAGGGTTGGGCACATCATCATCAGTACAGACAGCAACACTTTCAAGAAATCGCATCACCCCGAACCCAACCCCACTGCCAATTCAGACAACCACCATCAATAAAGACAGGACCAAACGAGTTCCCAAAACCCTTCACTTGAAATCTTCACTTGAAAACAAACTCTTTAGGCTAGAAATTTTGCATAAACTAATAACATTTCAATTGGCACTTTTTCCATAACTTATTCCCATTAGGTTTTAGTTTTGAATAGTTTGCAACAAACTCTTTGATACTAATAAAGCTGCAGTTAACATGGAACATATTGAGCCGTAGGCTTCTTGGTATAAAAATTCAGAACTGTAAAACAATTACATTATCCACTCATCTCTTTGCAGGTTCAAAGTTATTATCATTAAGATAACCATTTCAAGACAAACACCAAAGGCACAAATAGGGGGGGGGGGGGAGAAAGAAGAAACGATTTCAAAGCGGCCTGCCAAAGGCAAAAAAAAAAAAAAAGCCACTCCTCCGACGAGAATTCGTGGTGTGATTTGCGCAGAGCAGTTTTGGTTTAATAATGAGCTAGCTGAGTTCTTTTTGCTTTCCCAATAGCTCAATAATGAGCCAGCCGAATCCCTCTTTTTAAGTTTGAAGATATTCATTTTTTTTCATTTTAATGTTATTTATATAATAATTATTATATTATAATTATAATAATAATTATTAAATATATATTATTTAATATTACAAAACCCAAAATGGAGGCCCAATTACAAATGGTGGCCCAAATCCAGAAGCCCAATGGAAACCCTAAACCATATTAGGGTTTCCCTATTCTCCCAGCCGCCTCAGCTTGCCACCGTTGGATCTTGCAGATCCAACGGTCCAGATGGCGCCAGACGAAACCCTAGGGTTATGATACCCTAGGGACTACACCAGCTGCCGCCGCTCCACGTTGCTCCAGCCGCTGCCACGCCCCAACGAAGGCTCCAGAAGCTCCAACGCCAGCCGTCCACGCTATGGTATGGGGTGAGTCACCACTGGGAGTCCGGTGACTCACCGAAGGGTATTCTTTTACCCGGTCCGATGGCCACACCGGTGATGGCTATAAAGCCATCACCCCATCTGCGAACAAAGACATAGAACAACAGAGCCGGAGAGACAGAAACAGAGCAAAAACAACAAAACAGAGAACAACAACCCAACAAACCAGCAACGAAACAGAAGAAAAAAAAAAGAAAGAAGAGAAGCTTACCGAGGAAGCCACGACCACCGGACCTCACCAAAAACTTCGAAAACCGAAGGTATATTTCTTAGATTTGCTCCGATCGGGAGCCGTTTAAAAGAAAAAGCCATCGGAACCGTCATTAGGACGGTCCGATCTATGTTTTAGTATAAAAAAAATTTTATTCCGGCCACCGAAGGCGGGGGCCGACGGCGGAAGAACACCGGCAGACGGCTGCCGGCCGGCTGGCTTCTCTCTGTTTTAGAGAGAAGCGAGAGAGAAAATTCTCTCTCAGAGAAGAGAGAGAGAGGAGAAACTGAGAAATGAAGGCTGGCCCTTCGGGCCAGTCGTTTCAGACCTTAAATAGGCCTTCCCGAACGACGTCGTTTCGGGAAGGACTATTTGTGCAAATTTTAATTGTTAAATACCGTCCGCAGCCATTATAACTTGTATCTCTTACATTTTAGTCACTAAATCAATTTATAATCCTTTTAATTTGATCTTTAAATTTAGTTTTATTTATTTTAGTCCTTTATTAAAATAATATTTAGGGTAAATAACAGATTTAATCCCTTAATTTTAATAATTAATATTTAATCCCGAGTTTATATTTTAATTTATTTTAATCTGATATTCGAATTTTAGATAAGTTTTATTTTAGTCACTGAATTAATAAATAAGAAAATAGCATGTTTAATCCCTATAATTTGATTAATTATGAATTGGATATTTAATTTTAATTTTACTATAATTAGTCACCAATTTTAAATATTTTCATATAGTTCTTTATATTTTTATTGTATTATTAATATATTATTATATAATAATATATATAATAATTTTATTTTTTTCAATAAATTATTTTAATATTTATCGAAGAAAGGGCAGTCTTAATACAACTGGATGTCCTATTCTGGTATTTTAAAATTAAATATTATAAAAAATTATTATTTAATTTTATTCAAATTAATATTTATTAATATCAAAGAAAAGAGTTGTCTTAAGGCACCTAGAAGTCCTTTTCCGATATTTTTAAATATTTTTATATAATTTTGAAATAATAGGATTATAATTAAATATATTTTGAATTTTTAATAATAGAGACAATTTATAATTAAAAAGTACCAATTTGGGCGTTGTAGGGTGCTAATCCTTCCCTAAACGTAACCGACCACGAATCCCTTTTTATTAAAAAGAACGAATTTTTGGTTATAAACGCAGATCAGTTCAATTTTTTAATTGATGTTTCTTAAAACTCTTTTAAAAAAATAATTTTTAGGTATTCGACCTACCTGACCCAAAAAGGCCGATGGCGACTCCCAAATTATTTTCAAAACCATTTATTCACATCAATTTTTCCGCCAAATAAATTTTTCGTACCAGGACAAAAACCAGTTACGACAGCTTGGCGACTCCGTTGGGGACCTGGTCAAATTTTAAAAATCAATTATAAATATCTCTATTAATTATAAATTAAATTTCATATATTAATTATAAGTCTTTTTTTTATACATATTATTATAGTATTTATATATATTATTAATATTTCATTTTATTTACAAGTATTTTATTTCATTATTTATTTTTCTGTCAAAGGTTTGAACATTTCTCCTCACACACAATACTTGCATTGCATAACATAAGCTCTATAATTGAGTTTGTCCCTTTTAAGTGGGGGTGAAAGCGACGTCTTCGTGAGAATTATTCTTCGTGTCAGACCTAGCAAGTAACTTTCGGGGTTCATATGCTCTATGTCTTCGTGAGAATTATTCTCCGTGTCAGGCATAGAGAAATGTATCCTCTCGAATTGAACTCGATCCATTTTAGTCTGTGATGGACTAGGATTGAGGGTTAGCAACCCAAGGGGGCACTAACAAGGACAATTCGGGTACCTTTATTCTTAGATCTGAAACCCTACATATAATAAACCCTAGAAACTCTTCCGATCCGAAGTCATGCCGAAATTTTATCCAAATAGGTGTACACACAGGAGAAATGAATTCTAATTTCCTGTTAATTTATTTTTTTTCTGATTAAATTACATGTATATTTAAATTATTTAAATTATGAAAAAACATGTTTAAATAAAAATATTTAGGTAAATGTTATTATTAAATTTCTTTATTATGTAAACTAATTCATTTCTTTTTGTTTGTTCTTTATCTTTTCTGTTTGCATAGCATCATACAGGATAAAAAGGAATTGATCCTCGTGTTAATTGTCTCATTGGAAAGCCTTCATCCATGGATAAAAAGTGTTCAAATCAAATAATTCTAAACTCAGAAGTAAGACAGTGGGCTGAGGACTTACAAAGACAAGAAGGAAACAGTTTGCAGGATGATTATGTATCTGACTTG